TTTTGTTTTGTTTTGTTTTGTTTGTTTGTTTGTTTTTTTTTGGGGGGGGGGTATGGTTGGTCCATTGGTATCTGCTTGATCAGGATAGTGAAAGTGACGCTGCACAGCCAGGAATAACTGAAGTACAGAATCATGTCACCGGTCTAGTCGTTTAATTTTTTTTTTTTTTGCAGTATTGAAAAAAGACACGAGTGAATTTGTACGTACATGTATATAACTAATTTGTGTGTTTGTGAAATATCGGTAAATATTGTTTATCAGCCATAACACAAACAATACTATTGGCTATCGATATCGGCTGAAATTTTCAAATTGGCATATCCGTAATAGAAATGTTTGTATAACAGGCAACGCTAACATAACCATTACAGTTTTTTGCAAGTTCTTTGGGATGGGATTATTGACTAGGATCAATAAATTGCTTGTTTTGTCAACTATAATGCTTACACAACTATTTTATAATATTTCAGGATTGCAATAAAGTGTAGTCTGTAAACTAATCAGATTTAAACAAGTCAAGATTTTAAATGGTAAATAAACAAATTCACAACTTCATATACAAGCAATTAAATCTGTCATTTTTTTTCCAATGTACACCATGATAACCAGGTAAACAGAATTGTCTGAATGTTTATTGACTGACCATGCCRTTTGAAAATGAATCAATGCACAAGTGTCCACATGACACTAAGTGCAGAAGCAAGCAGCTGTCATCAGTGCAGTCAGGAAACAGTGAACATGCCAGTACAAGGATATCATAAATTCATCACGACGACATCCTAGAGAAAGCTCTGCTGACTCAACCTTGATCGATTGCAGGCAGAGCAACAGATGGCCATAAAGGACAATCATTTGACTGTACACTCATTAGCATAATYTCATGCATATACGGTACACCTCATGGGTACAAGGCCACGTTCTGCTTGCACAACTTAAAATGCCTTCAAGTTTTTTAAAATATTGAATTACATGAGCAAATGTAATCACATGCCAAACGGAATTAGGTGGTTGGAAAATGAACACAGTAATCGGGTAAATATTGGAGATCAACACTAGGCAGCTAACATCATCCACTAATAGAAGAAAATGCTACAGTATGTGTTGTCATCATCGTTTGTGGCCTTAGAATAAAGAAATTTGTTCTCTGCATTTGACACATCACACATGTGAGATACACAAGTGGAGCRGTGGCAGTTATTTAAGCACCCAGTTAGTAGGGGTGCAACGATACAGAAAATTTACAATTCGGCTTGAGTCGATACTTTAGTCTCACGGTTTGAAACTTTTTTCAATACAAAAAAAGGACAAATTTCTGTGCCCTTTTTGATTCACAATTTATTGAAATTACTTATGAGCATTTGCTTAACCTCAAAAGTAGTTTTTAAAATAAATGTTGCTGAAACAGCAGGTTTCTCAGTGGATCTGTGCTCCACAATGCAGCCTAGGTGGAGTAGTCAAACACAGATCCACTGATCCTTCAACACAGAGCATCTTCAGAAGACAAGCTGATAAAGTAAATTTTTAAAATCTGTATTGTTCAATACAAGTGCGTACTGAGACTAGACTGTGTTGAACGGTTCAATACAGATWCATGTATTGTTGCACTCCTACCAGTTAGCATTTGGGGATTAGGGGTCTTGCTCAGTGACAGTGCGACATTTGGGCATAATAAGGAAATCAAACCTGTAACTCTCTGGACACAAGATGACTGCCCCAAATGCTGCCCCACAGTGTTAATTATGTTGTAAAAGTGGGCAGCCTCATTGACACTTGTSTACAAGCTGGTTATAGACAGCAGTGTTTCAAGATGAATGCTGACATGCTTGCTATGACAACACCATGTTATTGATTGGCAGGAATTCTTACCGCAATTGTAGTCCAGTGTCATCAGCAAACTGATAACAACTAATTACTGCTCTACAAACAATTACTGTCATAAACAATGTCTTTCTGGTTATTTTTGGACATGAAAAGCTACTGAAGGCCCAACAAAGTATCGCAATTCTAAAACAAAAAGCCATGTTTAGGGGCCATGTTCCAGGCGTAACTCTGTCTCATGTTCTGCCTTTCCCAGCATCAGAAAGTCTGCTTTCAAACCCTCTGCCCCTCATCTAAAGAGGTTGACATGTCTGCAATTACAAAACTTATATTGTTTTAATTAGTGTAAACCATTCTTTGACACTTTATATTAGACAGATTATGTGACGGTTTTAAAGATTTTGTCAAAGAGCCCATGAAGTCACAGGGCCTTATCGGTAAAGCAACTAAAGTGTTTACAATCAGGCTTAGGAAACGCAGTGGTGGGCACAGTTCCCCTAAAGCACTAAAGCACTAATAGGGGAACTAATTTCCTGATTAGTGCTTTAGGGTTTTTTAGCACTTGCTAAAATTATAGGCGAAATTTAGAAGCACTAACTTAGATCTATAAATGTTATTGATCAACGTTAATGTTGACGACTGACTGAAATCTGATGCATATTTTGTTCATATGTGTGTTACTTATCCACTAGGTCAGTGTTTCCCAAAGGTGGGGTCGGGACCCAAAGTGGGGTCCTGAAACATCAAGGTGGGGTCTGACAAGATTTTTTGAATTAATTACATTTTTGCCTTAGTTGTTACAAAGGAGTGAGGTTAGTGTATTTAAAATTGGTAAATTTAATATAAAAAATATTGTTACTATGCCCATGTTTTGTTGACCTGAAACAAATGTTTATCATCCAAAAATAGTTGGGGCCACAGGTCTCTGCTRCTGTTATTTTGTGGGTCAAAAGCTGAAAAGTTTGGGAACCACTGCACTTTGGTTCCCAAAGTTGGGCTTGGGACCCAATTATGGGTCATGAAGCACCTTGGATAATCTCCAGAAATCAATTTAAAGGGTAATAAAATAATTGCTGATGTAATATGTTCCCTATAAATATTACAAAAACACAAAATAAGTATAAATAAGTATCTATATTTGTGTACAAGCTGTTTAGATTGTCAAAAAGCCTGTGTTTTTAGGGTTATTAACGAAGTTTGTGTACTCAGACCAGTAATATTTGGGGTCACAAGTTTTTGCCATGGATATTTTGTGGGTCAGAAGATAAAAAGTTTGGGAACCACTGCACTAGGTGACAACATATGAACCCAAATATATCTGTGGAATGTCAATGATAAGTCTTAAGAGAGCAACATGGCAACATGTGACTCATGTTGTCWGTTGAAAAATGTTCCATGGGTTGACTGGGTTATTTTACTGCTTTAGAATTAGGTTTAGCTAAAGTTTTGAGTGTGTTAGTGCTTTAAAATTGGGGGACCTGAGTATTTGAGTTAGTGTTTTAGGGCTAGTGGAACTAATTTTTACATTAGTGCTGCCCACCACTGAGGAAATGCATTCTAGTTTTAGTGAGAGGTTTATGTGACATTTTAACCAACATAATCAACTGTCTGACATGACTAAAGTGGTTTACTTTATTGGTTAATGTCCTCTTTTTCCTGTTAAATTTTCTCRTTTGTTTCCATCAGTGTCTTCCCATTCAGACTTATCCCCTTCTTCGTTTCCTCCTGCTTCTCATTTCGTCTTCAAATCAGCCTGTTCACAATCATCGGCTCCTTTTTATCATAATTCTGTCTTTCATGTTTTCAGATCCCACGTAATGTAAAAACAATAAATATAGATTTTTAAAAAAAAATCATTTTAAAAAACCCTGCAGGGTGGGCTTAAACCATAAAACAATTCTTTATGTAAATGATAGAAATAGAATAAAAGACAAAGAGGGGGAAAATTCAAATGAACTGCAGAGGAAGGAAGGGGTAATGAAAGCAGAGAGGTGTAGAGTCGTCCAGAGATTTATGGCAGGTTGTTGCGGAGCACTGACTGAATAACAGGGTGAGACCGGGTGAATTATTCATGCAATACAGAGCTGGGAGTGTGTGTTACATGTGGGGTGACATGAGCAGGTGAAACWCACATACATACACACATACACCCCTTTGGCCAGCTCATAGTTGGAATTATAACTAAATAAAACAGACAGGAACTTAGAAAATAAACTGTTTATGGATTAAAATGAATAAGATTAGAAAAAAATACTGAATAAAAAATTATTGGTTTCGACTAGTTTGGCTTCTTGCAACATCAGTGATTTTTATATTATTATTTCACAAGTGCTTTGCAAAAACAAGTCAGTTTATTTTGATGTAGTTAGTTAATTTAAATCAAATAATTTAGCATTTTTTAATTAGCAAGTTTAGCACATTTTTAAGAATAAATACCAGTTCTGGCTTAAGCTGAACAGTGTTAATGATTGTATTTGAATTAAAGGATGAGGGATATCAGAAAATCTTGCAATGGCGATAATATTTGTAATTATTGTGATGACAATATYAGCTGCGATACACGTCTTTTTTGTTCTTTCCTCCCTTTATAATCAGTACTTCCTATTTTATGTGAACTTTAGCATTTTTTGGCAATATCATTTGTGTTTGGTGTGGGCTTTCGCTGCTGTGAGACTCATGTATTACACATAAAGGTACATCTGAACATACACTTGTTTTTCAGCCTACAGATTTTATACGTATTTTTATTTAATTGGTAATACTGGTAATTTGATGTGCTTTTACCACTGAACATTTAATTTTTATTTTTGTAAAGACCATTTTACATAGACTATGACTGATTTATTTGAGCAATATAAGTATAAAACATCCGAGGGGTGAATGCTTTTTATAGACACTAACTTGTAAACCACTGTCTTACACGTGATGGGTTAAAAAAAACTTGTTCTATGACTGCTGTCAAATTGCAACACATTTGAAACAAAGCAACACCTGAACAAACACTTCTAGTTCTAGAATAAACTGCACTTGAACCTCAGCAGTGTCGTGTTGTTAACTGTGGAAGTCTCGCATACAATCACAGACTAAAAATTTCTAGAACAATCTGTCTGTGTTCAGACGAGCACACAATCTAAATTCTGATCACAGAAGCACTTCTGGGAAATCCTGTCTCAAACACTCACCGAGTTGATGCAGCCAAGCTCCTTGTTGAGCAGCCAGGGCAGGGAGAGTTTCCCCTCTCCTTTGTAGCACGACTGAATCCTCTCTTTAATCTTCTCCTTTATCTGCCTCATTGTGAACAAACACAAAGCTGACTCCTTGGGCGGCTTGGCTCTGTTCTTCTGACCTTGGGCAAATACGGTGAACAGAACCTCCTCGTGCTCTCGAATACCAAGAGAACGTGCCAAGCGGGTTCCCGGACGGGCCAAAAAAGCATCCTGAACCAAGCGATACTCCACTCCATCCTTCGTGCAGCCGATGGGGAATTCGACGTAAGAGTAGAACTTGGGATCGTCGACGCAGAGGCGAACAATTTTCGAGGTGAAGAACTGTTCGCTGCTTGCGTCTGGTGACGTGAGCTGGGTGTCGAGTTGTAAGGTGAGGTAATAGACAAACTGCTCACTGTTGAAGCCGTAGATGTAGTAGATGTCAAACGCTGGGAACTTGGAGAGGGTGTCTGAGGGAATTTTCAGCTGGGATGAGACAAACTCGTCCTGGTACACAAAGCTGAACATGTCCGCGTTCTCCTCATTAGACATCAGCTTTCGACTCGACAGAGTGGGGAAGTACTCTGATTTCCCGTCAATGGGGGTGCCGACAAAGAGTTTGCCACCCCCACCAAAAATATCTGGGGAGATCACCACACCAGACATAGTGCCAGCCTCAGCCACGCTGGATAGATAGTGTTCTTTACGGTGGTGTGGCTCACCAAGCTTGAATAAATCATCCAGACGCAGAAATTGACATATTCCCTGGGAAGTACTCCCACATGCAATTAAGCGGTTGTGGGCAGCATCGAGTAGCAAGAGTTTATTGATATTAGAAGTCTGCACCAGCTCATGGGGGCAGGACTGGACGCCGGGGGGAGGGTAACACCGAGGGTTGTCGGTGACAGGACCGGTTACGTGGCTCCGCAGCTTGGTGAGGTCGCCGGAGAGCTTGTAAATCCAGTTCACGGCACCCAGATAGACGTCTCCGGTTTTGTTGTTGACCACTAAATGCGTGAGGCCTCCTTCGGGTGGAGAGAAGGAGTGGAAGGAGGGAGGAGTGGTAGATGCGGAAGCCTTGAAGAGGAGGAGGAGACGGAAGAGGAAGGGGAAGAGAAGGGGTGGATTGAGGTGAGAGGGCATGGTGGTGAGGGGAGGGGAGGGGATGGGGTGCATGAGCAAGTGGGTGTTAATGTGTATTTTTGAGTGTTTAATCCGCCAAGGGTTCAGTCAGTTCCTCATGGTACCCAGCAGGGTACGACGATACAAAAAACTGAGTTCCAGAGTAATCAGATCCACTTGTGTTTATTCCTTTTTTTCTCCACTTTAAAAGGTTATAATCTCATCCTTTGGTCCTCAGTCTCATCTGCCACCAGCCCTAAGAGAGAAAGAGAGAGAGAAAAAAACAGATGTTAGTTAATGCATGCACCCTTCTTATGCATGTGCAATGATCTGACAAGAATGCATTTGTAACAAAAGATGACACTCAACATTCACCCAGGACACAAGGACTTGATGCTGAAATTACTGATAAAAAAGTAACAAATGAGGGCCTTGTTTTATTGACTTTTTGATTCTTGGCTCGCACCACTCAGTGGAGTGCATCTTTTAAAAGACAGGGCTAAACATTGCTCCTCTGTGTATTGATTGTCTGGAGGTATTCAAGGATTCAGCTGAAAAGGTAAACACATGCACACAGTCGTGGGTGAAGTGCAACCTTTTTAATTCCCAGGTTTTTTACTTTTTAYGAACATAATCCTAAAAGACGAAACATTTCATAAATAAAACCAGCCGGTTCTCACCAGATTARATAAAAACAGCCACAAATGAAAAATAAAAACCTTAGACATTGCTCAGTGTCAGCGATTATTTAACCAGAACTAAAGCACAATTCAGAGGATAAATAGTAAGAAAAAAACACAAATTGAAAATCTGAACAATTGTCAACACTAATTAAACTTGCATCTTTTATATCAACCTCCTGTCTCACATTATCTTAGAGGAGTTTTACTGTATTTTTTCTGGTTTCAGCCTACATTTTATTCAGGCAAAGATACTTTTCCTTTTACAGCCATTCTGTTGTTGATTTACTAGTTTTTGATCACTGTCCTATTGCATGTTTAAGTCTGCAAGTTTGTGGCTGCAAAACAAACAGAAAAAGTCCGTCTTCCACCACAGTGTTTGACAGTTGGTACGAGGCATTTAGGCCGACTTACTGTGTTTAGTTGTATCCAARTATAGCTTGGTGTATTAAGGCCAAACAAACATTGGTGTTGTATGCACAAAGAACATAGCTCCTGTGGTTTGTTCAAATGTAGTGCATCTGCATGTGTGTGCAAAGACCATTAAACACAGTTTCAGGAACACTGACTGAGTTCCACGGTTGGGGAAACTTAGTTCTTGCTAAATTTTCGATAGGAGCTTTGTTGCTTGATATGGACCATCAGAGCAGAGAACTGGACACAAACGGCTTATGATGAGGTCTTAGTCCAACCTGATAAGATTAAAAAATGGTGGGAGAGAGTAAAAGTGAAACCAATTTGGATGCATACCAGTTCAATATAAAGGCAGTAGAGATGCTAGGAAGGATTGCTCTAAAGAGTAAGAAAAAGAGTTGGGTATTAAGGAATGTAGACCATCCTTCTATTTCCCATTTCAACCATCTATTCATTTATTTTCAATATCCACTTACCTGGTCAGAAAAAGAACAAAAGCAGAGGCAAAGCTCTGAAGACTAAAGGAACAAAATGGCTGCTATAAATGCTAAACCGATAATTAAATGCTAAACCGATAATACATTTACATCAATTACAGCCAGTATGAGATAAGAACAATGATTAAATAAAGTGAAGAGAAATGCATTCTGGCTAAGAGGTTCAGATACCAATTTTTAAGTTAAATCATTGATTATTTTCCAAAATGAACCAGTTAATTAATTTATTTTTTTGTTGTTTGTTTGTTTGTGTTGTTAACACTTTTTTATTTTATATTTTATATATATTTTTTGGTCTCAGGGAAACACAATGTTCACGCTGATTCATGATTGAAATGGCGGCAATATTTGAAAAGAAAATAGATTTCCTCTGGCTAATTGCAGAGATGATACATCTCTGACAACACAAATCAGAGGAAACATTCATGGATTAAAAATAAAATAAAATAATAGAAAATAATAGAAAACCGAGAAAAAAACGGATCACTTTATCAGAGCTGTAATGTGCATCAAACAAATGGTGCAAAAGCTAAACTTGCAGTGCTAACCCACACTTTATTAGCGCATTGGTCCATGTGCAAATAAACACAAATCACAAAGCAAAGGTTTGTTTCACAACTGGCTATGGTCAGCAAGCTATTCTTGTCTCAGATTTCTGCTGCTCCTTATTCCTCCTTTTCATTGCATTCCTCTCTCTCTCTTCTCTCAGACACTTTGCTCCTTGTCAATAGTGTCTTTCATCTCCTGCCCAGTCGTGATTACAGTGGCCCTGATGACGATGCTGCTGCCTGTCTCACCAGGACAATGCAGCTACTGTTAGCATCCAAAAAGCTCACAAAAAGAAAATAAGTCAGTGTACACCTTCCACATACAGCATGGTGTCTAAAGCTTTTTAAACAAGTGCACTAAATACATTTGATCTCAGTACACTCACAATTAAAATGCACTAACATGAAAAGATCCGTGCACACATTCCTGCACAAAACACAAACCCCACTCATACTTGAAAAGAAAAAAAAAAACAGTAAACACTCACTTTGTTCATTAAATGATACGATAAGAATGAGTCTATTTTTGCTCCACTTCTTTCTCACTTTTTCTGATGTTCCTTTTAAATGCTATAAATAAGTGGAAATGCTGGACTCAGTGGCAGTATAGATTTAGTAACCAGTGAAGCTGGTCTCTGATGTTATCGGCAACTGTTTGACTAAACTGGGACAAAGAGATGAGAGGAAAGACGAAGACGTTTGTGAAGCGGGGAAGAGAAGAAGTGCTTTAAAAGTCTTTCTGCAACACCTGGATCAGATCAAAAGAGGGGAAATTTATTTTTATTTGTGAAGAAATTTGTAAGAATAATGGCTGTGGACACATAAATGATAGAAGAAAAACAGGCTGAAAATGGGACAGAGTTTTTTTTAAATAGGAAACAAATGTCTATTGTCATGTGATGCACACTACCATAGTTCAACCTCATAATGTACAAGAACAACACAGATGTTTAATTTTACATATGGATGGATGGATGGATGGATGGATGGATGGATGGATGGATGGATGGATGGATGGATGGATAACAAAATCTAAGTTTTTCTAACTTGTAAGCAGAGATAATTTGAATCAGCTGAACATTTTTAACGGACCTATGTTGACCCCATTAAAAAATAAAACCTGTACATGCTTAATCTCTAGTTGTAAGTTTGTTTATTTTTAATTAATGTTCACATTACATCTTTAATCTGAAAATATAATAAAGATATTTTACTTCACATGAATATACTCCAAATCTCAATAACATCTAAGTCAAACTTAGTTATTTATATAAGTGTTTTTCAAAGTGGGGGCTGTGGTTTGGGGGGAACCACCAGGGAGCACTGAGGAAAGTCTTAGAAATCTAGAGGGAAGATAAGAAAAAAAGCAAAAAAAATAAATAAATAAATCTAATAAATGGTTTAAATACATCCATCATCTGTTCATTTTAAAATTGTTTAACCAGGCAAATCCCACTGAGATCACAGATCTCATTTTCAAGGGAGGCCTGAAGGCAACCTATTGTACATGTTTTTGTGTTGTGGGGGAAACCGGAGAACCCGGCGAAAATCCACGCAAACACGAGGAGAACTTTAAACTCCGGACAAAAGGACCCCAGGTCCGAACTGGGGATTGAACCCAGGACCTTCTTGCTGTGAGGCCTCAGCACTAACCACTGAGCTGCCGTACTGCCATGTATCCAGAAAAATCCCACGTATACAGGGAGAGAACATGCAAACTCTACCAGGATAGATCCCCTGCCAGGATTTGATCCGGCAACCTTCTTGCTGGGAGGCAATAGCTCTATCAACTGAGCCACCATACCGCCATGTTTTAAATCATTTTCATAAAATTTAATCTATTTTTCAATCAATATTTTAAAATATGTGACCAATCACATCAAACCAAGGATTAAATCAAATATGGCCAAAATGACCCAGTCACTTTATTCTTGGCTTTAAAAAGGCTTTATTTTGATAACTGGATTATCCTGATATTATGAGTGGTTAAATATGACTTAATTTGTCTTGTTAATCATGATAATACATTAATGTTTGGTTTGATTCCCGTTTTTATGTCATTTTAATGAGGAGGATGTTCATAATCCATCAATCCACTGTCTTTGTGGTTTTGCAAGAGGGGGGTCCCCTTGCAAAAGCTAATGCTGTTTGGGGGTCCATGACATGGAAAAGTTTGGGAACCCGTAATCTATATGCTCACCACTGTGACCGTGTGAACCCAAGAGTCTGTGCCACTGTCARACGTTACAAAAGCCCAGCTGACACATCAGATGAAGTTGCAGTGGCATTCAGGTCCATCCTGAGCTGATTTATTGCTGTTTGTGCATCGATTGTGCACACAGCCGCAGACCTTGGCCAAACACTTAGGCAAATTTATACACACCACTTCTTTAGCATGTAGCTCACTGGCTGCTGGCTTCACGGTGCATTTGTCGATATGCAAGTGCACATCCTTCATCTTTCCAATCTTCTGTACGACTGAAACACGTGCAGACACATGTCTAGACACATTAGCCAATGCATTAACTTCGTAAATACAAGTTATATGTAATCAAAAAGGTAAAGTTAACAAATTGCAGGGCAATGACAGAAGATCAATTGGTATTGATGCTATTTTGGTTTTAAACTGTTTTTCCAGACAAAGCGCAGACAGAGCAAAACCGACAAAGACATGAAATGGATTGAACTCCCCGAAAACTTTGACCTACATTTGTTGTCGTGTTGATTAAAGCGAGTCAGCCTGCAGGCTCGGACTTCCACAGAAAATCACCTGCATAATCATGTCGCTAAAGCTTTGACGCATTACACAGTTCTGTTTTAAAGTTCAAGGTTTTTTTACACAATGCACTGAAGGGTACATTTCTGTGTATTTTAAACCTGTTTGCAGGTGACCTTTCAAAGAAGTCAATTTACAGCTAATTAAATCTTGAATCTAAAAATGATGATGCAGTAATTAAGAGACTCAGATTTTTACTGGTAAAGTTGTTCATTACCAGTGGTATGTGATATTTTGTATATTGAGAGCACAGGGATAACGTAAAGGATCTGTAACGTAAATGAATGATCATAAAACTTATGACAGGCCTGTCGCAATAGTCAATAAATCAATTAATTGCA